TAAAAATAATAAAATTGGTGTGATAATAAAAATTAACGAATTTTCAAGGAATAAAAAATACAATACCGTGCGCAGATGGCTTGTGGAATAATATCACCGATTACCGTAATTATAGCGGTTGGTATAACCAACGACAACATAACCTGAAACAATCAAATATGGAAGGAAAGGAAAACAGTAACATTTCCAAAATCAGTGCAGTTATCAAACTGTGAAGCAGTGAATATTCTTATTGTTATTTATTTTCAAAATTTATACCCCCGCCCCTCTGTTTTTTATTTGTCGATTACGGAAAAGCATTCGAGCAAGGCAGTAAGGCCGAAGAGCAACAACCAAGCATGTATAGAGATAGATTTTTTTTGGAAATACTTTTTGTGAAAAAAATTTACATTTTGGTTTTTGTTCAAAAAAAAATTAGCAGTACCTAGCATTTCAGTCTGTTACTTTCTTATGCATTTCCTCAATGTTACTTCATTGAGGACAAAACTAAGGTTTAAATTGCTATAAGACAAAAGGATTATTAATAGATGCACAAAGCGGATTATTAAACTGAACCTAGAAACTGTTAAAAGAATATAGCGAAGGCTGCCAGTGCACTGGAAGGATCCACTTGAATGGCAGTTTGCGAATCTTCAGATGAGGCATCATCAATGTGCTCATTTTTTTGCATTTGTAAGTGGCGCATAAAAATTTTGATAAGGGATTGTTTTTCGTAGCGTCTGTTTTGAATCAAGGCATTGTCCAAAGTGGATTATTGAATGGTACTCATGCAACTGGTTTTCCTAGTGGTTTGATCCCAACCAGAGTTAGGATTTCATAAAGGCCACAAAACCGTGATGGCTGATTTTCTTGTTAACAATTTGTAGTTGTCAATTGGCATACATTGGCGTAATAGTTCTCGATGCTTTCGCACAAATCACTGATGAGCAATGTGACAATGATATTGCACATCGTATTACCAAATACAATCGAGCAAAGTAGAAAATTTCCTTGACTTCGTAGAGGTAAAATATCTGAGGCATATTTGCGTTCACGTTTATCCTCGCTACCTTGTGCTATCAACTGTAAAGCAAGTCAGAAATTTTGTGAGTTAAAAATTTTAAAACTAAACAGATGTACGCATATTACTTTTCTACTTTGATCAACTGCAGTTCGTAGCCTCGTTCTCCAGTTATTCTTGTTGTTCGTCGACTGATTAACTCGAGCTTCCTCAGAATTTTTTCCTCTTCTGTGAGTTATTGCCTTTCGCTAGACTCAATTTCAGGTATTTTTTTTGGTTTTATTACTACCAAAATTTTTGAAATTATCAAGCTACTCATGTGAAACAGCAATTTCACTGTGGATCGACCAGACTATTTGGGAAAAAATCGTGCAGTAGCCGAATAAAGAACATGTAGGA